TCAGTACCTAAAAGACCTCTTTCAATACCGAGTATCAGTAGCTAGGTGATTTAGCTGTTCAATGAGTCCTAGCTGACTATGATGATTAATAATGAAGCTGCTATATGAAAGAGTCAGTTATTCTAGCTGCAGGTTACTGTGGATTATGTCTTCCTGAGTGGCCATAGATATGGACCTATGAAGCTTACTGTGAATAGACCATGCAGTCAGCAGCTTATTCTCTACTAATTATCACTTTGTTCAGCAAAATAATGTAGTTTTTGTCATTAAAATTAGCTATAATGATGAATTAACCATGTCATAATTACTAAATAACTATTAATTAATTGCTAATTATGATGATGTCATTTTCCGGTAAGAAATTCTAGTAGGGCATTGCCCTCAATGCCTGCCCCTGCAGCCGCCTTAGAGAAAAAGTCTGAAGAATTTTGCAGAAATTTGAATTTGGGCCTATTCTCCAGAAATGCTCCCACTACATTACAGTCCACTCTAAAGGTACCAGGAGAATCGCTCAATGAAGGAGAGCTGATCTAAGCCATTTATAAGGCTGTACAACGTAAGATAAAAGAGTTATAAGTGTTTGAAAATCATAAAAACGGCCGCCATCTTGAAAAATCAACCTCAATCCTACATATAGGCTACCGCCTATATAATAATCAAAGGACACTAATGAGTTTCATGATGCTATACTAGCCAATGTTAATTTGTGCATGCATTATGAGAACTATTGATACTCAAGAGTTATCATAAAAGGGGATTAGTGAGTGAGCAATAGTATAAACTTTAAAAAAATAATTTTAAAACTGCATCAACACTATTAATTATTATTTAAATCACACTTGGTCCAAATTTAGAAATCAATTAAAGCACTTTAAGACATATTTTCGTACTCATCAACATCTTGCTCCTCATTTGTCTCACCTTGATTGGGACTAAAAGCTAATCAGTGAAAGATAATAATAACAACACATTATGTGAGTATGAACATCAAAAATAAATTTACTTGGAGCAGTAATAGGACTGGTAGCAAATACAGGACAGTTAGCTATTGGTATGTTGTCAACACTATCTCCTACAATTGGAGCATCCTCTTCTTTTTGCTGCACTAATCTATCATCTATTGGTTCATATAAATATTCATCAATCCTCTCATACATTCCTTCATTATTTCTATCAAAATATCAAATACAAACTTTTAGTTAAGTAGATAATTCTTACTGTGTTGCAGAAGTATTAGCAATTGCTACTAAACCATATCCTGCATTAGGTGCTACACTGAGTTCATTGGCTTTACTATAATGACATAGATACATAAATTGTAAGTATTAAATTTTCTTACCTTATGTCAAGCTTTTTGGATTTTTTTCTATACCATACTACAATAACAATGCACACGAATAACACTGCCAAAAAGAAAATCATTATTAATGAAGTTGGCACTATTACTGCTGCCAAAGAAACACTACTATCATCAGCACTACTGATATTTGTAGGTGGCACTAGTAAAAATAGAGTGTGGATATAATACATGTAGCTTTAGAACTAACTTGTTAGGGAAGTGTGAATTGCTGGTCCTTCAATTAGTCCTACATCACTCAATAGCAATACACTAATACTCACAGTATAAGCTAACTGTCGTTCAGTATCAGTTATATTAACTGATGTGGTATCATAAGCTACTGATATAGTTCTTGTATTAGTTTGTCTTAATGTACTGCTAGTGCTACCATCATCAGGAGTTAATCTGATACTGTATACAAAGAATCCTTTAGCTTCTTCTAGTGTCACTGGATCCCATGATAACACTATTGTATCTCCTATTCTCATTGCTTGTACACTTGATGGTGATACTGTAACACTTCCTGCAAATAAAATGACATTCATGTCGTCCATTAATTTAAAATATTTTACTGTCAGCTTTAGTGAAGACAATAGCAGTTGCCGAGTTTCCTTCACC